TGACAGCTACTGCAAAATGAGAGGATGCCTTCACTCAAGCTCAGCGAGAGTTGATGACAGAGAATGGAGAAGCCCATTCAGCTACTTCCAAAAAACTTAGTAAGCTTAACACAACAAGGTGGGCAGAGTGTGTGAAGGCAGTGAGTGCACTACTCCACCACTACAAAACTTCCCTGGGTATTTGCTCATCAGACAACACTGATTCTGGAAGTAAGGCAAGTGGTCTACAAAAGGTGCTTTCAAGCTTCAGGTTTTTCTTCTGCCTGATGTTGAATGAGAAGATCTTGGAGCCTTAATTCCATACTGCAAAGTCCTCAGCTGCCTCTTAGCAAGGCAAAAACAGCAGCTTCTGGGACAACAAAGATTCTTATATCTTTTCATAACACACAGGTTTTGCAGTGCTTTGGCAGGACTGTTTGAGAAAATCAGCAATGTCAGCAAGCTTCAGATATGACAGGTTACTCGTCCACCAAGAAAGTCTGCCTGTACAGCCCACAGGTTCAGTAAAACTGAAGAATTCTACAGACAGAGATATTATGAGATGATCGATGCACTGATTACCCAGATTAAGGTGAGTTTGAAATTTTATCAAGCTATAGAGAACCTGATCATCGCTGCCACAAAGTCAGATGGGTGGTCTTAGCAAGACTTTGAGAATGACACAAGTCACTTCACAGACATTGGTGCTTTACACCTGTAAAACCAACTGAATGTCTTGACTGAGCTGATGCAAAACCAGGAAGCAATTACAATACATCATGTAATCAATGAAATAGAAGGCCTTGGGCAAGGTGGTCAGCTCTACGATGAAGTTGGCAACTTATCCACCAGTTAGGAGTCAAGTGCAAGTTTATTGCTAGTAAGATCAGGAGAGTGGAGCAAAAGAGCCAGGCAAAGCCAACCATTTTAGAATGGAACAAAAGTAGACAGTCCCCAAAAACACTAGACAGAAATGGTCAAGAGACAATATACCGAGTCCAAGACAACTATAATGCTCCAAGAGGACACAGCTCAGAATAGCAAGGAGGATAACCACACAAGACTTTGCAAGACCAAGCTGAAAACACAGGGTATAGATACTAAACAAAATGGCTTCTGACTAAACTCAGGTGCATGATCTGATAGTATTCAGGTGATAGTGACCTCTGCTGGCATGGAGGGGCGTTGTCAGCAGCAGATGTGACAGACCACCACCCCCCACACCCCACAATTGGCGGCCCCCAGGCACCATGTCCTCTGTGACATGGGATACCACTCGGGGGCAGGACGGCCCGGATCATCCCTATGAAAATCTGCTATTAAGGAAAGGTCAGGTATATCTTCAGAAGGAACCATTCAACTGCGAATGACACCCTGAAGTAGAGGATAGCGGTACTTGACAGTGATCGCTTTCAAACCCCTATAATCTATACAAGGACATAACCCACCATCCTTTTTTTCAATGAAGAAGAAGCTGGCTGCAGCAGGGGAGGTAGAGGGATGAATGTACCCCAATTTTAGTGCTTCATCAATATACTCTTCTAAAGCCTTGGTCTCTGGTTGTGACAAAGGATAAATTCTATTCTTAGGGGGTCATGTTCCTGGCAACAGTTCAATAGCACAATCTTCTGGTCGGTGTGATGGTAATTTACCAGCTTGCTCAGATGTGCTCATGACACAGTTTTCTGCTCTATGTCCACACAGTACTGACATGTGAAAAACAATGCATACAATAGTGCATAAACTGCACAGACACTAGATTAAACCTTTAAACTCAGAGGACTCAGCAAGTCTACACTTCTACACTTCTGTTTCTTAGTTCTCATAATTTACTTTTCAATATGGCTGATTTGGCAACTACTGAGTGCTGGATGTCAGGCTGTAGAGAGGAAAGCTGCAAACTGAGTTGTGTCTCAATTCAACAGGTTTAGATACATATTCACTGTGTTTAGTCCTTGAGTGATGGTGTAAATTGTTGGGTTTCAAAGCTTTATTTGAAAAGACCCAAAAGACCCATGAGCAATTAGCACAGAGCACTAGTTACTCAGTTTCAGTTCTGAAGCCCAGAGCTACGCGTTCAATGCTGTATTTCCTTCGTTTCAGTTATGCTTGTTCTGAAAGCATAACTAGCTAGCAGTTTGCCAGAACAATCAATGTGCTTGATCTGCTGTCAAACGTGAGTTTGGTTAAATGTCTGTGTTGGAACAATTTTTTGCGGTAAACAAACCTGATTGCTAACAGCCCTTCGGCAGTACCACCACAGCCCACTGGGAGATCGCAGCCAAGGTTGAAGACCACATTTGTATATGTTTAAATCAAAAAAAACTGTTGGTTGAGGATCTAATTGATTTTTCCATGATGGCTTAATTGAGTATTATTTGTTTGTTGATGTACACTGGTCCCCTCAATCCCCCTGAGCACTGGTCAGAATGTTCTTATTATTAATGTGTTATAATGTTCATTTGATTTTAGGTGGTGATTCTGAATAAGTTTTAGAGAATACACTGTAAAAAGTGGCTCATCAGATCTACTTATTAATTTAATTCATGTGGTAACAAGCAATTGAACTAGTTTTATTCAACTAAAAAAAACTACATCGATTGAAAGAATCGTTCATTCAAAGTGTTTATTAAGTGTAACAGTGGAGGCAAGGAGGCGGGATGCAAATGCAAGTTGCTTTTATTCAAATTAGAATTAGAGTCCAGAATCTGAGTAGAAGAAGATTGAAAAGCGGACGAGTCGAACAAACTACAAGAAGAAAGCAAACAAGAGACAAGGGAACATCCACAAATACATCCAGAATGCAAGACCAAGACTGAACCAACACAGGGGTATAAATACACTGAGAGAAAATAAGAAACACCTGGGACTAATGAGGGGCGGAGCACAGACAGGTGGAGCAGATAACAAGGGGGCAGGACCAGGGAGGAGACACAGAACAACAACAACAAAAGCACATGGTATAAGAAAACAAAAAGGCACATGGCTACAACAGAGGGGAAGAAACAGACACTGAGAGGGACAAAGAAAGAATCCGTGACATTAAAGTTGGATAAAACTAGTTAATCTACTTGTTACCACATGAAGTAAAGTTTTTAAGTAGATCTGATGAGTCACTTTTTACAGTGTAATGGAACAGAGTATTTGTCTATGTATAGTCAACACTAGTATAAACATTATTTTCACAGCCTAAATCTAATTCAAGTTTTGTCCTTTGGTGAAGAACAGGCTCTGTTTATAATCTTATTCTCTATAGGGGACTCACCTGAAATGTTAGGGAAGTTTAAAAAAAGATTGCCCAGTAACTAATTTGTGACATTATAATACAGGCTTTCAAAATGGAGATTTTTTAAGTGGTTCATGACTTTAGTCTTCCATTGGATGGTCATAACATCTAAAGTTTGGTAAATTTAAAGCTGAGCAAGAAGGGCTTGTAGCGATTTTAATTCTAGGAGCCTTCCTTTGCCAGAAGTCTTAAAAAATATTTGGGAATCTTCAAGGGGATGTACCAAAACGAATAATTCAGCCTAGATAGTGTATTCACTTTGTATTCACTTTGACAGTTTTTGCTTGACCTATAAGAGACATTCACTTCAACAGATCTTTCTTGATTTGGTCTGCTTCATTTTACTAAACATCTAAAACCACATTAGGTCTTGAATGAAGTTATCCTGAAAATTGGGAAGACCTCTTTTTGGATAAATGTAATCGGTGTGGTGTAATTCCCAACAGATGGAAAGAGAGCTTAGGTGAATTCTGATGGGTTACTAAGATATACTATTACATCATTGATCTTCAGAGACAGTGTATGATCTGAAGGGCCAAATGTGATACCAGAAATTACTGAGTCAGCTTGAGGTCTTACTACTAATGCAAACAGTTCTATGGCTATTGCAAACAGCAATGAGAGCATTGGCAACTAATAGACCAGGGCTTTCCTATCTTTTTCATGCCAGGACCCCCATGTATAGGCAGTGTCTGAGGTCTAGAATTTAATAAAGTTGAATAAAACATAAACCTGTCTAAAAAGTTCTTGAGCTTTCGGTCAACTTTATTAAATATTAATGCTTTTTCAATATAAATGCAGCAACAAAACTTAATTAAAGGAAGAAACATGCATAGGTCTACACTGTTTCATACCTAGTGATACTGTGGAATTCTGTGAAACAATAAAGTTAGTCCTGTATTTATATTTAATCCATTTGTTAGTGTTGCTCTTGTTGCAAAGATCACTGGTGCTTCACTGGGACATACTGTAGAAACAGAGTGGGTCCTGCTTCTGATCTAAAATGTGCCACATTTAGTTCTGCTCCGTGGCTGCTGGAACAATGGGGGCAAGTGCCCATTTGACCCACCACTTTTCAGAGTACTTAGAAAAAAAAAGAATATCCTCCACTCTCGCTAACTACATGGACCACTGACCTATAGGCATGAACATACAGACAGTGAAACTCAGCAGCAGCACCAATTAAAATCTCTATTACGGCTGGGGGCGGGACATTGCCCAAACTGTGAGTGTTTAGTTAGAGGACTGCTGCAGCTCACTAATCCAGAAGGCTTTTATTTACTGTGATGCACAAACTAATATTTATGCACTTGCTTAATATATTGATGACATGAAATTTGCTAAATGCCGGGTGAAGTGTTTCTTAGTACTGCCTTGCTAAGCTGTGATTTGTGTTGTTCTTTAGAAATGTTAGCAAAGTTAGCTATTTGAGCAAAGCCCCATGAACCCTGCAGGGTCAAAACAGCAGAACACTGACACTGTTCACATAACCAGTTTTTCATGTTACTACAAACCAGATTCCACAAAAGTTGGGACTACATTTGAAATGCTAATAAAAACAGAAAGCAGTGATGAGTAAATTCTGTTTGACCTGATTAAAAAAGTACAAAAACACAATATTTGATGTTTATCTTTTGAACTTTATTGAGTTTTTTTGGTAAATGCATGATCTTTCCAAATATAAACCCAATTCCAAAAAAGTTGGGACAGTAGACAGTAGGTAAAATGCAAGAAAAAACAGAAAGCAGTGATTTGTATATCTTCTTTGACCTGTTATTCTTATGACCATCTCCTTGATTCTACACTCATTTTCCATTTTATCAGCTCCACTTACTATATAGGTGCACTTTGTAGTTCTACAATTACAGACTGTAGTCCACCTGTTTCTCTGCATACTTTGTTACTCCCTTTTACCCTGTTGTTCAGTGGTCAGGACCTCCATGGACCCTCACAGAGCAGGTACTATGAAACTGCAACACTGTATTGTATTGCTGAAAACATATACATACATACATTCTAAGTGTGTGGCCTGGACTGGACCTGCATATTGTAAAACAGATAGCAACACTAGCCATTAGTCCCACATCACTGCAAATTGTAATAGTCCAGTCATTAAAAACAACCATGGAAGAAAGTTGAAGTAAGTTTAGCTAAATCCGTCCACATAACTAGCAATACATACATAGTAGTACTATTATATAATATCATAGTAATTTGAATTGTTCAAGATTGTTATACATATTGAATAACTGTTTATAAGCATATTATGGAAAGACATAAACATATACCCCTGCCTTATAGTTTTATATTGGTTACTGAATACATGGTATTTAAAAGCCTTATGATTAATACTAGAATAATAAGCATAAGAATCAAGGTGTTAAATGATGTCAACAAATGAAAGAAAAGTTGCTGTTTTGATTAAGCCATATTAACAAGGGGCCACTGCAGCTACACAAATGTAGTTTCTGTGGAATGCATGGAATTTGTGGAGCTCCTTGTATATGTCAGCTGACTGTTAAGTGTTCTGCACCGGCTGAAGCAAATTGGAAACCATTCTTTCAAAGTCTTAATGACTAATGTCCTGAACCTCTGCCCCAAAAAGGCGTAGATGATGGGGTTGAGGCAGCAGTGACTGAAGGCAATGGTTTCAGTCCATTGCATGGCCAGGCCCAGGTCACGCAGCCATTCGCAGGTTTCCATGTATCCTGAGTAATGAAGAAAGTACATGAATATGACCACGTTGTAGGGTGTCCAGAAGAGAAAGAAAACTATGATCAGGACCAGCATGAGCTTGATGGCTTTGTGCCTCTTCTTAGACTTCATAGCAGCCAAGGTGGGGATGATCTGAGAGTAGCAAAACCCCATGACTGTGAGGGGGAGGACCAAGCCAAGGATGTTCAGCTCCATGTAGATGACCAACCTCCATGTGTTGTTAGGATATTCTGGCATGCACAATCCATTTGACTCATTCCTCCCTTGAGAGAATATGATGGTTGGGAGAGAAGCGCCCAGGCTGAGTGCCCACATAAACAAGACCAATGCTATGCCCACGCTCACTGACTGGCGCTTAAAAAAAAGGGAGGTATGGGCATGGACAGTTACAAGATAACGATCCACCGTCATGAGCAGCATAAAGAAGATGCTGCCGTAGAAGCCTAGCATGTAAAATGCGGTCACAGCTTTGCACATGGAATTCCCAAAGATCCATATGTTGGTGGCAGCGTAGTGGGCCCAGAACGGCAGAGATATGAGAAACAGCAGGTCAGACAGTGCCAAATTGAAGAGGCACACATCCATCATGTTCGATTTCCGGTAGTATTTGGCAAGGACACACAACACCAGGCCATTGCCAATTAAACCCACGATGAAGACCATGCTGTAGAGGGTTGGGAGGAAGACTTGGCTGAAGTCCCTTACATAGTTATTGTTGCAGGGTGTGAAATCGTCCCCAGTATAACTGTAGTAACTGTCCGCTGTTTAGAAAACAAACAAACAAAATCTCATTATCACACATGTATATATAGTTATATTTTTTGGTTAAGTTTTCTTTTCACAAGATTTAACCACCCAAGAAACATTTGGATGAACGTTGAGCATTTATCAGTGTTTTTCAGGATGAAATAAATGGTTCTGTGCATCTGTGTTAAAAACTGAATTGAAAGTATTGGAAGTTCTTCAGGTAACACATAACATGTCAACAACTTATAACAACTTATTTTTATATGTTAAAATATTGAATTGTATTTACCTATGATTATTCCAAATTTACATCATTGTCTATCAACATTCTCTGCATCGTGCTCTTTCAATGATACTTAGGCCTATTTATGGGACCATCTCTCTCAAGATAAATCCAAAGCCTTATTACCCTGAACTGGATACATGGTAAAAACTATCCAGCTTATGTAGCCACTTTACCTGAAAAAGACAATTATAATTCCTTCCACTTCAGAAGATCTTTCTTTCAGAAGTCCCCCTCCCCCATATTTAATTGAAAATAGTACAGCAGACAAAGTAGTAGCCCAAATATATGCCCATCTTGAATTTGATGCCAGAAACACATTTCAAAAAAGTTGGGACAGGGCAACAAAAGACTGGTAAAGCTGTGTAACGCTAAAAAAAACAACTTGTGGAACATCTCACAATTAATTAGATTATTTGGCAGCAGGTCAATAACGGGATTAGGTTTAAAAAGAGCATCCCGGAGAGTCTTTCAGAAGTAAAAATGGGAGGATTTCACCACTCTGTGAAAGACTGCACGGGCAAATAATGCAACAATTCAAGAATATCATTTCTCAATGTAAAATAGCAAAGAATTTTGGGATTTCATCATCTATGGTACATCATATCATTAAAAGATTCAGAGAATCTGGAAAAATCTCTGGATGCATGGGACAAGGCCGAAAACCAATATTGTCTGGCCGTGATCATCAGGCCCTCAGGCAGCACTGCATTAAAAACAAACACAATTCTGTAGTGGAAATCATTGCATGGGCTCAGGAACCTTTCTGAAAATCAATTGTCGGAGGTATATGCTTCCTAAAAGCTTTAGGGACGAGCATAGTGTTTTGTTTAATGTATGTGCATAATTTTTGAAATGTATATGGTTAAATGTTATGTCAATCCAATTGCTTTATCTTAATGCATTGGCTTTGATACTATGCAAAGTTTTTCACTGAGGTCACATGTGATGTGCAGATGGTTTTTTTTTCCTTAAGGAAACGAGGGAGCCGCACGGTTTTCTGACGCGTCGTTGTGTCCTAGTGCTGTGGACTGAATTTAGATATGAGAACATGTAGAACTAAGACACACATCTGTTGAGCTGTATTTTTTTGCTTTGCACCTGAAATGGAGTAAGAAAGTCAAGAACTGTATCGAAGATTTGTGTGATTCGTGTGGATAGGCTACCAGTGTTGGACACGCGTCAGTTACGCGGCTCAGCCTTTACTTTCGATTTGAAACCCCACTACATCAATGTCTGTGCACATAGTTTGTTATTGCAACTACGAGTTAAAATGCAAAAAGAAACCATATATAAACAGAATCCAGAAACCCTGCCGCCTTCTCTGGGCCCAAGCTCATTTAAGATGGACTGAGGCAAAATGGAAAAGTATCCTTTGGTCTAACAAATCAAAATTTGAAATTGTTTTTGGAAATCATGGTCATCATGTCCTCCAAGCTAAAGAGGAGAAGGACCATTCGGCACCTATGGGAGTGCATTAGTGTGCATGGCATGAGTGATCTACTTAGGAGCAATGTATGCTGTCATCCAGATGATCTTTTTCAGGAAAGGTCTTGCTTCTTTCAGCAAAATAATGCCAAACCACATTCTGCATGTATTAGAATAGCATGGTTCCATAGTAAAATAAAAGAGTCCAGGTGCTAAACTGGGCTGCCTGCAGACCAGTCCTGTCACCCAATGAAATCTTACATCATGCAAGAACACAAAAACATCTCCTTAGTTCCCAAATGCTTAAAGTGGTGTTAAAAGAAGAGGTGATGCAGATGCAACACATTGGTAAACATGACCCTGTCTCAACTTTTTGAAACATGTTGCTGGCATCAAATTCAAAATGGGCAAATATTTTTTCAAAAAACAAAAAAAAAATAATTTTAAATATTTGATATGCTGTCATTGTACTATTTTAATAAAATATGGGGTTTAAATGATTTGCACATCATTGCATTCTGTTTTTTTTTTACATGTTGCACAGCAAAACTTTTTTGGAAATAGATCTACTAATATATCACTGGTGTAAATTTTGTAAATAAGTGGACTGAAGCAGGTGATGACTGTGGAAATAATGTTGAGAACTTCATTTAAATCAGTAAATTTCATGAAACATATTATCATCATCATCATCATTAACCGCTTAGTCCAGATGTGCTCTCGGTAGCAGTTGGGAGAGCAGAGAATCCCAGATAACCCTGTCCCCCGCAACTTCCTCCAGCTCATTCCCAGGGACCCCAAGCTGCTCCCAGGCCAACTTGGAGATATAATCCCTCCAGCGGGTACTAGGATGACCCCGGGGTCTTGTCCCAGTAGGCCATGCCTGGTACACCCCCACCGGGAGGCGTCCAGGGGGCATCTGGATCAGATGCCCAAACCACCTTAACTGGCTCCTCTCAATGCGGAGGGGTAGCGGCTCTACTCCAAGCTCCTCCCAGATGACCAAGCTCCTCACCCTATCAAGTAGAGTGTAGCCCACCACCCTGTGAAGAAAGCTCATTTCCGCCGCTTGTATTCGCGATCTCATTCTTTTGGTCATTACCCACAGCTCATGACCATAAGTGAGGGTTGGGATGTAGACGACCGTTAAACAGAGAGCTTCAACTTATGGCTCAGCTCCCGCTTTATCACTACAGTCTGGTACAGTGACCGCATTACTGCTGCCGCCTGTCCCAGCCTGCGGCCAACCTCATGTTCCCTCTTCCCATCACTCATGAACAAAACCCCGAGATACTTTCCCCTTACCTGGAGTGGGCATGCCATCCTTTTCCGGGCTAGGACCTTGGACTCAGACTTGGAGGTGCTGATCCGCATTCCAACTGCTTCACGCTCGGCTGCAAACTGCTCCAGTGAGCGCTGGAGGCATCCATGCGATCCAGCCAAAAGAACAACATCATCTGCGAATAGCAGAGATGCCACCCTCCGGCCTCCACACATAATGCCCTCCTGACCTTGGCTATGCCTTGACACCCTGTCCATGAATATCATGAACAGGATTGGAGACAGGGCACAACCCTGGTGGAGTAGAACGCTAACACTGAAGGAGCCCGACTTAATGCCGAGTATATGAACCCAGCTCTCACTCCGGGAGTACAGAGATTGAATGGCCCGGAGTAGTAGCCCCGGCAGGACCTCCCACAAGATATCTTGGGGAACACAGTCGTAAGCCTTCTTCAAGTCCACAAAACACATGTAGCCTGGGTTGGCAAACTCCCATGCCCCCTCAACAATCTGAGGTTCAACTATCGGTCGAAATCTCCTTTCCAGCACCTTGGCATAGGTGCTGGAAAGGAGACTGAGCAGTGTGATACCACAGTAGTTGGCACACACTCTCCGGTCCCCTTTCTTAAAAATAGCGACCACTACACTAGTCTGCCAGTCCAAGGGTAATGTTCCTGAGGCCCATGCAATATTGTAGAGGCATGTCAGCCTCACAATACCCAGAGCCTTAAGCATCTCCGGATGAATCTCATCCACCTCCGGTGCCTTGCTACTGAAGAGCTTGCCAACTACCTCAGTGACCTCCACCAGGGAAATGGAGCTTGACACACCAGAAGCCTCTGGCCCTGACTCCCGTGAGGGAGGCATGTCTCCTGGATTAAGGAGTTTCTCAAAGTGTTCCTTCCACAGACCGGCAATATCCTCATTTGAAGTCAGAGTTTCTCCACCCCTGCCAAATACAGCTTGGGCAAAGCCACCCTGACTGCTCCTGAGTTGCTGGACAGTTGTCCAAAACCTCCTCGAGGCACACCGAAAGTCTTTTTCCATGGCCTCACCAAACTCCTCCCATGCCCTGGATTTTGCTTCTGCCACTGTTGCCGCTGCCACCTTTTTTGCCTGTCGGGACCTATCTGCTGAGTCAGGAGTCCTCTGGGCCATCCAGTCCCAAAAGGCCTCTTTCTTCAGCTTGATGGCCTCCCTCACCACCGGTGTCCACCAGGGGGTTACCGCCCTGACAGGCACCCACAAGCTGTTGGCCACAGCTACGCCTGGCAGCTTCCACAATGTAGGTTTTGAACAGGGTCCATTCAGACTCCATGTCCCCCACCTCCTCCGGGATATGAGAAAAGCTCTCCCGGAGGTGGGAGTTAAAATCATTCCAAACAGAGGCCTCCGACAGTCGTTCCCAGTACACCCTCACTATTCGCTTGGGCCTACCGGGTCTGACCATGAGTCTTCCCTGCCATCTGATCCAACTCACCACCAGATGGTGATCAGTTGACAGCTCAGCACCTCTCTTCCCTCGAGTGTCCAGAACATATGGTCCCAAGTCAGATGAAATGACAACAAAGTCGATCATTGACCTTTGACCCAAGGAGCTCTGGTACCATGTACACTTATAAACATCCTTGTGTTCAATCTTGGTGTTCATCATGGGCAATTCATGCCTAGCACAGAAGTCCAATAACAATTTACCATTTGGGTTTAGATCGGGCAGACTGTTCTTCCCAATCACGCCTCTCCAGGTCTCCCAGTCATTGCCAACATGAGCATTGAAGTCTCCCAGTAAGACTATGGAGTCTGTAGGCGGGGCCCTTTCCAGAACCCCGCCCACTCGCTTCAAGAAGGCCGAATACTCCGACCTGCTGTTTGGTGCATAAGCACACACAACAGTCAGAGTTTTCCTCTCTGCGATTTTAATTCGCAGTGATGTTATGACTATGTGCACATCTGTGCACATCAACATTAAAGGAAATCTAGCAACATGCATAAGTGATGGTGTAGGGCATCCTGAATGGGATTATGAATATATGGATCACTGTCTGGTGACATGGAGTAAAATGAAAATTGAATGGGATAAACATGTCACCCCTAAAAGGACAACAAAGTTGAACAAATAGGCTAAGTCAAGTATTAATGTATTAACTTCAAAGAACTCCCCTGGTCTTTTCAGCTCCTCCTCTAGCATACAAGGCTGCTAATGACAGAATTTGTGTTACTGAAAACATCTTGACTTCAGGGTCGAGTAAAACCAACACTAATTCTGCTGCTAGTTTTCATCCTGACTCTGATTCTAATTCTGATGTAGAGGATATGACGGCCCATAATTCACAGTAGCAGAATATTGCTGCACTTTTTTCCATTACTGGCCACAGCACCTAATCTTACTTTAATAAAACAGACTGTTTCCAGTCTTCTATCCCTACGCCAACCACACACATTTGCTGATTCACGGTTGAAAATGACTTGTTACTCCCAGCTCTCAGGTCCAGATTACAGAATGTCAAAATAATCAGCAGAAGGAGCAAGGGGCATGTCATTATCATGGAAAAGAGGGGCATTGGATCAGAGAATGTAGAAAGAAGTGCTCTGATGAAAGTCAATCTCAAAAAACATTTTAGACTCAGACGGAGGGCCCTAAAACACACACCGGACAACCTGTTGTCTGGAAACCGATGAAGGCATACAGAATGCACCCCAAGTTGTTGAAGATGCACCTAGTTTGACAATGCTTTCTAAGACATTAACTCTTGTTTCTGGTGATATACCTCTTATGGAACTGTTTGTAGATGGCAAAAGGTTTAATTTTCTTGTAGACACTGGAGCAATATTTTCTTCAATTAGTGGAAATTAATATAATGGGCCAGTGTCAGGCACCACGCAGGTACCAATTTCATGTTCAAAAACACCTCAGCTGTCAGTAACCTGTCCAAATGATTGGGGGATCTCCTTTTAACACAAGTTTGTCATAATTCCAGATTCCTGATTAAACCTGCTGGGTCGTGATGTTATGGCCAAATTGCGTTTATCCCTTTCTTTTGATGGCGAGTAAATGGTGGTGTCCAATAAGCGTAATTGTACTCTTTCTGTTGATGAGGGAGCCGTAAGCACATCATTGAAAATCCCAATATATCTGCAAGACATTCCTAAATCATTATGAGCAGAATATAGAAGGACCAAGTGGGTCTATTAAATTGTGAACCGTACAAAGCCCATTTGTCAACAACAGCCAGTGTGCTGCAAGAAATACCCTTTGTCTAGAGAAAATGAGGAAGGAATTTAGGGGGTGATACAGTCACTGATGAAACAAGGCTTCATCGTTGAAACAACATCTCCATACAACCTGCCAATAAATCCTGTTTGCAAGGTGGATGGTAGAGGTTGGAGATTTACAGCGGGTAAATTAAGTTGTTATCCCACATGTGCCAATTGTGCCATTTTTAATAGATTTCTAGTAATACACACACATTTAATTGTTGTAGACTTGTGTTCAGCCTTTTTCTGCATCTCAGTCCATGAGGACATTCAGCTTATTTTTGCTTTCAGTTTCAAAGAAGGACAATGCATGTGGCAGCATGCCCTGGATGTGTTGATTCTCCTGCTGTTTTTGCCGCTGCTGTGCACAATTTCCTGGATACTCTCATTTTGCCTGATAGCTGTACTTTGTTGCAGTATGTTGATGACCTGCTACTGACAGCGAAGGATGAGGCCACGTGCAAGACAGGCTCTGTGTGTCTGCTTCAGCATTTAGCTGTGCGTGGTTTCAAAGTTGCTCTTGACAAGCTGCAGTACTGTCAAACCTTTCCTATCTTGGTTTCACTATGTCAAATGGAAGCTATAGAGTTTTAGGCCTCCATCCACAAATAAAGGCATGATGTCTTTTCTGGGACTGATCAATTACTGTTGTGCATGGATTCCTGACTGCTCTTATTATGACAAGATTTGGGAATGTGTTGCAAGTCCGACACTCCTGACATGATCGAATGGGCCACAGAAAAGGCAGAGGCTTTCTCAGTACTGAAACGGTCCCTGTGCTCTGTTCTAGCCATTGGCCTGCCAGTCTTTTCGTATGTACACGCATGAACATTACGAGGTCGCTGCAGGTGTGCTGGCTCAGCAGCATGGGGGCCACATGAGACCTGTTGCATATTTATCCAAAACATTAGATGTAAAGGCATAAGTGCTGCCTGCTTTTTTGCGGGCTGTAGCTGCGGCTGCCCTGGTGGTACTGGATGCAGAAAAAATGATCCTTTCACACCCACTGACATTGTACACTTCACATCAGTTGCTTACTATCCTTAACAGGCACAGGGGTTATGAGAACATTTTGACATGCACTAGCAATTTGTCTATTGAAAACTCGTCACCACAATCTCCAGCATTTCATTTGCATCAAATGTTGTCTCTCTTTGATTCTGAATTTCTGCCTGACGCTCACCTCTGTTGTGCTGACATCATAAAAGAGTCTGTCTGTCGGGGGATTTGTTGTTGTCGCCATTAGAGCACTGTAAAAAGGGTTTTGTAGATGGCTCATGCTCCAAGCGCTGTGATGGTGTATTTTTATGTGTATGTCAACTTCCTAATTTGGTAACTAAGGCACACTCGCTTCCTTATTAGTCAGCACAGGTGGCAGAACTTGTGGCCCTCGTTAGGGCATGTACTCTATTTAAAGATCGTACCATCAGCATCCTGACCGACGACAGCAGGTATAGCTGGGGCGTGGCTCACGATTCTGGGGACATCTGGTCCCAGCGCAGGTTTCTCACAGCTGACGGGAAACCAGTCTCTCACTCCACACTGACTTCTGATTTATTACATGCTTGCACTTTATCCGGGAGACTGGCTACCATCAAAGTTAAGGCCCACGAGTCCCCTAGTTCGGGAGAGGAAGCAGCTGGTAATTTTATAGCAGATGCTGTTGCCAAATGCTGCCAAAAATGGCCCACCGTGTTCATACATTAGTCAACAAAATTGTTCTTTTTCAGTTTTCTCTCATCCATTGTCTACTGATCCTAGCCTTATTGACATCGCCATCATATGAGAAAATGCCTCACAGGTAGATAAGGACTATTGTAGTAAGTGTTCTGATGGTATTTTGACATGTCCTGAGGGTCACATAGCACTGCCAAAATCTTGTTTGCCTTTCCTGCATTTCATGGTATTTCACATGTTGCATGAAGAGGGGTGATTGATAATATTAACAGAAGATACTGCATTCCAGATGTGACAAAAACAACAACGTTGATTTTAGATGCATGTCTGATATGTGCACAGAACCATTGTCTCCTTTTGAGGTGTTCATGCGATGACCGTTCCCAACACCGTGTGTGTGAGGTAAACCTGCTCCGACGATCAGTGGTGACATGGACACAATTGTGTTTGATTACACAGCTGCCCTGATTGACAAGTTAGCCAGCATACAAGCTAATGTTGATGTTTCTCTCCCTTTACCCACAGACCAACCAACACACCCGTTTAAACCTGGGTTCAGACAACGGGACAAAGGACACCATTTGTTACACAACAGATACACAACTTAAACCCAGCCAACAATGCAACACCCTTCCCCTCACTGAGAACCTAACTATGAAATAAATAATTACAACGTTACCATTTGGGATGGCATTTTATAAGTCTTGGTTTTGTTCTTCAACAAACAGTGCTTTTTATTCCCTCTCCTGAGGATCCACAGCACTACACGGTTACAACTATTACCTGCCTCAACATCCTCGATCCAGCTTATCAGCTCATTTTAAAGCTCTTACATGAAATAGTTACACGCTGCCTGATACTGCCTTTTACTATAAAGCTTTACTTTAAAGCCATGCATGGTGAAAATGGCTATATTTGAGTTGTAGACATTGCAACCCTTGGTTTCTATCACAGCCACTGTAAAGAAATAAGAGTTGGTAAGTTTCTTTACACTGAACTAAATAATCAAAACTGAAAGACATCCACTTATACTTACTCAGTGTTGTGTTGGATGTATGATTCCCAGTCATGTTTATAAGTCCGAGCGCTAACAGTCAAATCAGGGAGGCAGAGCTCTGTGCAGCTTTACAGCATGTGAAGAGACTGAGCTGTAATTTCCTGAGGCGGGCCTTTACCGCACTGACAGCTCAGTGTGTCTACAAAGCCCACTGTGCTAACATAAACATATCCGCCTCAACACAACACACAGTTCATGTCCTGACCAGACAGTTGATGCGGCTGATTTATGTCATTATGTATGAGATTCTTCTGGGACACTTTTTTCCATATTGCACCAACATAACCCTCATTTTCAAATTTTTCCTTGTATGTGCAGAAGTATAGGCACTCCTGGTCATGCTTTTTTTTGATTGTCTAAGTGAAAATAAACATTTTAAAATGGTAGGCCACTGACTATTGTTTGTGAAAAAATAGTGTAAAAAATTATGTGTCTACAGCAAAGAATTCTGTCTTTCTAAGGTAAATGAAATGAATTATAAATTAACTTTACTTAAGTAAAAAAATAATAAAGCCAGTTCTTAATAACTTAATGTTTCCTTACAGACTCAATGAGGTACATCTGCTTTGAACTTGAAACGGGGAGAAAAAGTTATGAGAGGCCAAAATCCTAACTAACCTCTCACACTCACTATCAAGAACGCCTTGGAGTTTGATGGTGAGTGTGAGAGGTTTGATAGGATTTTGGCCTAAACGGCCTCTCATATAAAAAGCCTCTTTAATGACATTGCAACATTTTACAGAAGAAAGCATCTAAAGATGTAAATGAGAAAACAACATATATAATGTATATAGACAAAATAATAATCCTGCCAGGAATATTCAGCAGGACAATCTATTCAAAAGAAAAGTCTATTCAAAGTTCCACTTCTGTCCTTCCACATTTTAAATACACAAACCGAACAACTACACCTGTGTTTGACGTCTTTAAGCGAAAGATACAAAATAGTCCCCAAAGAAGACTTATTTTTTCAGATTTACCACTATTGTACCATCATCAGCATTACTTATGAAAACTCAGAAGACACATGTAGGTTCACTGATGCTTCTGGGTGGTAAATAAAATATATATGTGTTGGAGACATTGCAACGCCTAGTTCCTATCACCGCAACTGTAAAGAAATATGAGTAGGTATTTTTCTTTACAATGCACCATTGGACCTTAAACCACTCTGAATGACTGTGTTTACATGTCAGCCCCTGAATTATGCAGGGATTTTGAGAAATTGGAAGTTCTTTTCAAGATGTAAATCAGAAAACAACTTCATATTAAGATGAAATAATAATCCTAATCATTTTCCAGAGTGAAATCAGTGAAAAATTTGATTCAGAGCCACTATAGTCTTATAATCCATATAAGACTTTTTTCTCTTTGTTAGAGTTGAGAGTAATCGTTTTGGCTACAAGCTATTATTTGAACTGCTGTTGTAAATGTCACCAAGTCTCACTCAGATCTGCTGTTCTTCCCTTGTTCTCTGAGTCCGCTCTGGTGAAATAAAAATACAAACAAAACTTTTTCCCCATTTATAATTCATATCACTTCATCACTTTACTGATATGAATTAGTGATAAACATTCTGCACATTAGAATACTCTATATTCTTCTAACTGATGGGAGTTCCACCCATTTTCAACATTTCTGCATAAGTTAATGGTTAAGAGAATGGTTTGGTGTGAAATGATCCATTAGAGAAACCTGTGGAGTCTGAATTGTTCACGGTGGTGGTGATAGGAACCGGATGTCTAACTCTGAAAGCTCCCTCATGGTAAGTCATTCAATGGAATGGTTATGAATATACTGCCTGAGGTGATGTAAGTTCAATGATTTGTTTACACTTCAACCATTAAATTATGCAGAAAAATTGGTGGAATTTCCCTGTTTCTTCCAAAATCAAGGTTTTAATAGGGAGTTAACAGAAATTATAACAGGGATGAGGAGTAATAACAACCCTATTAATTAACTGAAAATTTAAGTAAGGCAAGAAAATGTCTCCTTCCTTTATGTGGGTCAGCATTTAGAGTTTTATTTAAGGTATTTAGGTATACATTTTCCCTTTAAATAGTGCTACTGTACTAATAACTGTTCTCTGTCTCCCTCTAGTGGCTGGGTGTGACTTTGCTCTGATCGAGGACAACAGCAGGTTGTGGTCAGCAGGGAAGTACAGAAAGAGTAACATAACAGACAGAAACAGGAGCAGCGTCTCGTCTCCTAATCTGACTACTTTAAGCTTCACCATAAGCAGAGAGAGATCAGTGCAAAGCACAATATGGGATGAGCCTTCAGTCTTTACAGCGTATATTATGGCTGATGAAACTCATCCAATGTGGCAGTGTTCATTAAGAAATTATAATTTAGTCAATTTGTGATGATCAGAAGTTGAACATCAATATAAAAAATAATCAAAAATATATATATGTAGTACTATAAACACACCAATAGGTGTTTTTTTAAAACATTCCAGAGTATTTTGGGAAGCGTTTATGATTAAAGCTATTAAATGGAAAATATACTGTATAATCTGTGTATAGTAATTCCCAGTCAAATTTCCAGTCAACTGTAGATAGTACAGCTTTGATCACTGCTTCGCGAATATGAGAGATTCAATATTACATTATTCTTGGAAATTATATTTTGGATCCAAAAACGAATGGTTGGAACATAAAAGTGAACGACAAACAGAGCAAATGAACAGGTAAGAAGAAACTATAGGTACCAACATTGAACATATGGCCTTTACTGATCCTACAAGGCAGTTTTGCTGCCTGACTAGGCCCAGTCTGGGAGCAGCACTGCCTGGGGCAGTGAGGGTTAAGTGCCTTACACAACCAGGTATACCAATCAGTCCTGGGACTTGAACCCATGACCTTCCAGGTGCAAGCTCATCTCTCCAACAGCTAGGATATCAGCCACCCATACAAGGTTATGTACATACAGGGCATGGCAACAGACGAGACACCTGTGCATGACATCATTAAAGGGCAAAGCTAGGGAGGAGGAGTGTTCCACTGATTTCTCAGTTAGCCAGATAACTTAAGCACAAAGATGAGGATTGTCTAATAGGAATATCCCTCAGCTCTTTTCCTATTGGACAAGCTTGACTTTGAGCTTATGTTATCTGGCTAAACTGAGAAATCCCTCCCAGGGGGGTGGGGAAAGGAAAACCAAAACAAAAACAGATATGCATGATAGATACACAAGAGAGAACGGAAACAAAGAGGGAATACAGACAATGATAAAGGCAACGCTGGTAATATGGTATACGTGGTGAAGAATCCAAACCCCAACTTAACCAGGGGAACCAGCCTGATGTCTGGAGAAGTGAAGTTTATTCATTGCATGCGCAGGTACCAGACACCTATGACTAGAAGTCATAGGGCATCTGCTGCTTCCTTAAAAACAAATTATACATGTATGGCATTTGGCAGACGCTCTTATCCAGAGCAGCTTACAATTTGATCATTTTACACAGGTAGGCAATGGCAGTGTTAGGAGTCTTGCCCAAGGACTCTTATTGATATAGTGTAGGGTGCTTACCTATTCAAGGATTGAACCCCAGTCTGAGTGAACAAAACCTATTTCTGGAAAAGTTGGGCTACGAAAATAAAAACAGAGAAGCTTGGATTACAACACACTCGGAGGCGGTGTGACTTCATTCTCTGCTCAGGATGTCATTACTCCACTATATCTTTGTACAGAAAATAGTTGTTTGCTGCTATGCAAACTTGCAAAGTCATATATAGAACCTTCAAGGCTAGTGTCTGTAAGGCTAGGCCTAGTGTCAATACAATGTCATTTACTTCATAACTTCATTACTGGCACAAGCTATTCAAAAACCTCAAATATTTCTTTTTAACATGTTTTTCAATGCTTATGAATGTGTTATGAAAAGTCTATGAAGATACCCTTCAAATAAAGTGTTACCGAAAAGCTCATTGAAGCCCACATGATCTTATCTCTCCAGATAAGAGTATCTGCCACATACAGTCAATTGCATTAAAGTTCATTCATGTTAAAGTTGCCCCTTTTTCCCTTGAGTGCTTTTTCCCGAAATGTCTATGCACGGGCCTGAGGACAAGTTTCCACTTTTTTGAGTCTTGGTTGGTCTCTCGGAGAAAAATAGGTGTGAAACAGTCACTGGGGCAGGACCCCTCTTGTCAGTGGGATGGTACCCTCAAGGGTACATCTCAGTACCTTTAGTCAGGGAACATAATTGTACTATAAACCATTGAAATTAGATTTTCTAAATTGTACTGACTCCACACACTCTCATCTCCAGGCTTACTGTTTTATTGTTCTGTTTTAAAACATTAGGTTATGAAAAGATACAAAGATGTTAGGTTCACAATTGGACCAGCATATTTAGAAGGAGTTTAATGGAAAGAGTCACAGCTAGTGGAGATAACATTCTCATTTTTTTTTACTGTATATGCAGTGCCAGTCAAATATTTGGACATGTTTTTACATGCATGTTTTGCATGATGACATTTTGATATAACTGCTTATGCTTGAATGCTTAACATTAAGTTCTGTGATACCCATGCATGTTCTAAATGTAAAAATATGTGTTAGAAATCTATACATAAACAAACATTATTCACTTAGAGTTTTAGAGAAATTTGGAGTTGACTCAGATGAACTTTGTGCAGGTTTTAGCTCCATTTTACATCTTGGAAGGACTGGTTCGTCCTCTTCCATATCTTGAATAGATGCTAATGAAAGTCAACAGTGAAAGTCTTCCAAAGAATGACGACAGGTACAGTTATCATATGTAAATAGTAGAACTGGACCATCCAGTATAACAGTTGACTTTGTTTCTTGGGTTATATGTTTTTATGCACAACGTACAAAGAGTGCAATCCATACTAATGTTAGCCCATTTAGCTGAGAGTCATGGATGTTTCAATTACATTTCAAATGAGAATGAAAACACAGTAGAGCCTCGATCACCTTCCGCTGTCTAGTCTTCTGCATCAGAAGTAGTCCTCTTTGTTTTTGAGACAGCAGACATAAAGGGGGGGCCAGTTGTGTGAGGTAAGCCTTAGCCTAACGTTGACACCGGATCAAATGTCATGGTTTACTT